GGGGCAGGCGGGAATCGAACTCATGCGGAAGGAGCTTCTGATTCTTAGTACAGTGCTTTAACCCACTGCGCCACCATGGAGGGCCCTGTCAGAATATTTTTTTTAAAGATTCATTTATGCACATAGAAATGGGATACAGGCCAGAGTTGGGGGGGGGGTGAAAGGGTTCACCAGAGACAGTGGGGAGCAGAACAGATTGATGAAGTACATTCCTGAGGGGAGCCGCAGGCATGTCAGGAGAGGTCTGCTGTGCCATGTCGGTCACCTCCCTGGGCAGTGATCGAACTCGTGCTGCAGTGGTTGCGGGTAGCTTCGTAGTGCTGCGTTTTATTCCATTTCGCCAACAGAGAGGGCCCTTTGTCAGAATTTTTAAACTTTTGATCTAGATTATTTCTTGAGCCTAACTTTTACTCTGCTATTCAGTATATATTTTTAGTAATGAGCAAATGATATGACCAGCAGATTGTACATGTAAATAAAACTATGTTTCTACAATGACATTAAATTCTTCTTGTAAAATTCTTTCCAGAAATTCTTAAAGTTAAATAGTAGAAGTGAAAATGTCCCTTTTTTGTACCTAACTTTTATGTTCTATCTGACACATAATTATTGCTATATGCAACATTCATATCTTTATGGACACTCATGTGTCAAAGTTAGCCATTGAAATATAGCCCTGTGGAAAATAGCAAATACAATCTTTACATTTGATGCACTGATTTTGGTAATTTGTAAGACACCTTCTTGAATAGAAAATCTAGTGTTTACTGCAAATTTGATTGTTTTTATAGGTCTACTTAGTATAAAATTATATTTTTAGTGATTTAATTTTGAAAATTTAGAAGAGAATAGGGTATATTTATTTATGTGTTTGAGAAAAACGAGACAGACATTTTAGTTTATTCTTTCCACATTGAGGGTTGTTTTGTTTGTTTGTTTTTTTAAGTCTGGGGTGATAAAAACAAGTTTGCTATAGATAAAATTTCCAGAATTCCCATCCCTGCCACAGTTTTGATATGCAACCTGTATTAGTTGAGGATTCTGTTATGAAAAACGAAGCCCTGGTGGTTTTCCCAAGTGTGAAGGGCTTTAATGCAGGGAATTAAATAACCTGTGCCATTAGGCTACATAGCTGTTGGGAAGTCTGTACGTACACGTTGGGCAAACTGTCGGTGACCTTGGCAGCTGGGTGCTTCTGAGGAGCTGCCCTGGAAGTGCTGCCAGTCTTATATTTGCAGTCTGCTACAAGGTTGCTTCCTTCTTCAGGTTTCTGTTTTTCTTTTCTTTAAGATTTATTTATTTATGCATACAGAACTGGGGTACAAGCCAGACGAAGTACACACCTGAGGGGAGCAGTGGGCGGGTCAGGAGAGGTCTGCCGCGCCATGTGGTTCACCCCTGGGGCAGGGAATCGAACTCACACTGAAGCAGCTGCACTAGCTTGCAGTGTTGCGTCCGAACCCATTGCTCCACCAGGGAGGGCCCCGGGCATCTGTTTTTCCATTCCCCAAGGCAAGTGTCTCCCTTTGGGATATCTGATTCAGGACTGTGTGCAGTCCAGGGAAGAGACTTTGTCTAAGGCTCCTCTTCTATAACTGCAGAGACTGTAGTGCTGAGGTTTGAGTGACAACTGCCACAGTTCTGAGGATAGGAGTGCTTCTCCTTTCCCTGGACTGATAAGCAGAAAATAATAAAGCCATAATATTTTATTGAGATTTACTTTTTAAAAATTATTGTCAATCATTTACTTATTACAAAAATGTTGGTACTTGTTTAGTATTGAACATGCTTCTTCAAGTGCACTCACCCCCAAATTCTCATTTGTACCCTTAAGGTGAAGTGTCTATGTAGCTATTTAAAATTAAATTTAAATTAAATGAGTTGAATATTCAGCTTGTTTGTTGTATAGTCACATTTCAAGTGTTCCATAACCACATCTGTATACAGGCTGGTGTCTTAGTGTTGAAATAGGATATTTTCATTTAAACAAGAAGTGTTGTTATTGTTGTTTTACATAGTATTTGTCAGCTATATCTTATTCATCCCACTCCTTTTTTGTGTGTGTTGAAGATCTTCTGAAGTGCTACATTTCTTTTGTAATAATAGATTGTGTATATTTTTATGTGTTCTGTGATTGCAGTATAAATATATTTTTCTTGGAAGTGAGTTTTTTTGAGTGAATAGTATCGGTCATGTGCCCCAACCCACACAATTTAGAAGTTGTTTGTGATGATATTACTGAAATTTTATAATCATTTCCTTAGACTCGGTGGAAGCAGGAGAAAAGGTTGTGAAGACAGCACTGGATGCTTATGGAAGAATAGGTGATTTTTCTCTTATTTATGGTACTAACAGAGCTGCTTCAATCTTCCTAATAAATTTTTTTGATTTTAATTTTATTAAAAACTCCCTTGTGATAATCAGAGTGTTAGATTTGTTAAATGAATAAATTTGCATATCCTTCCTGTTCCTCAAAGGGATTGAGGTAACCATTTCTATGTATATGTGGGTTGAGCTTCTTTCATTCATTCAAATAACTTTTAAGCAAATTATAAGCACTCTCTTAAGTCCCTGTTAAGTCCCTGTTTGTAAGAGCTAAATTGTATTGTAAATATGTATAAAAACAAATATTAAAAAAAATTATTTCAGTGGTGAAGACCCTGTGGAACAATTTAGATAGTTACACTGATTCAGATTAAAATGATTCAGTGTTTTGCAAATTCATTATGTTAAGCTATTTGTAATAAAAATATATTTAGTCTTTCCTCCTTAGCTAAACTTCTGGTTCAGTTCCACATATCTTAGTAGAAGATTATTGAATTACTAAGGAAACATTATAGCAGCTAAGCCCAACATGAAAAACATTTCTCATAATTTGCATGTACTTCACTCCCCTTTTTGGGTGTTTATCATATTTATTTTTCTAATTATGTTTGGTTTTGCTCCTAAGAGGCATGTTTTTATATATATCATCTATGTAAAACATGGATAAAGACCACAAAGGTATGAAGTCATAGTATGAAATTAGCCATAAAATGGTGGTTCTACCTTAAAAGATAATTCCTTCCTTTTCACAGTGAGGACATGATTATGTGTTATGATGCTCTATCAGTTTTTAACTCTAGGTTTTCTACTTTTGAGTGGGAAGGAAAGTCTTTTGAACTTTTAAATTTGGGTGAATTTTGAGGTTAGACAATGGATAGCTTATTATTACCACTAATCCTAAGCACTCAAGAGCTGAGCAATAGCTAATTTTATTAACAAGATAGAATTCTGGCAGACGGTACAGGTGGAAAATTTTAGATCTTTAAGTGCTAAGTGCTGATTTAACGAGATTCTTAATGTGATACTTGTGCTTTTGTTAATCATATATGTGTTATATTTATTTGATACAGGTACCAAGTTTTATTATAACACTCTATTATGAATAACTTCTCATGGGAAAAATCCCTAAATCTGAAAATTTTGAGTTGTAAACAAATGCAGATTAAAATGTTTGCATGTTTGTTTCATATTTGTGACTTAAATCATTTTCTGTTGCAGATGTTGTGATCAACAATGCTGGGTGAGTGTTTCCTTTTTTATGTTTAGACAATTTACATGCATGCATTTTTCCTTCTAAGTGTATACTCCCTCCCCACTTAATCTATATAATATTAATTTTTTAGAATTCTGAGGGACCGTTCCTTTGGTAGAATAAGTGATGAAGACTGGGGTAAGTAATTTTTAATATATCATCCTGGAAACCATACCTGTCCATTTAGTCTTTTAATATATGATGAATGTGTAACTTTATGTAAAAAATCGTTTCCACCTTTTTTTTTTCCTGCTTCTGCTAATATGGTGAATAAGCTTCACAGCTGAAAATAATGAAACTATTTTTTTTTTTAACATTTGATAAATCAGATTTAAATCTCTTGACAGAAGTTATCCAAAACAGTTTTGTGACTTTTAGTTTTTTCCCTTTTTCTCCCTGAAGCATTTTCTGGCCATATTAACGGTCCTTAGGCTACCTGTTGATGTGATTCTTATTTCAAGAATAAGAGCAGCATTTGGAAGGGCACCTCCACCTCCCAGGTGGTGGAGACCACAGGTTGGAGTGAGGAAATCTGCTGTACCTTTGAAGCATCTCATAAATAGTGTCATCCTCCATGATGACTGCCCGGGGAGATTAAATTTAGATCATAAATCAGTCACAACATTTTTTGTTTTTCCTCTTTGTTTTTATTCCTGATGCTTTTTTTGCCCGTACTTTCATTGGCCAGCAAAACTAGAACAAACAGTTGATGGCTGAGACAGTGGCAGGCCAGGAAACTGAGATGAATTAGATGCTGTTTTACAGCGTGTGCTGCTGGGAAATATTATCACAGGTTCTTCTGGGAGAAGCAAAACTTCTTAGAATTAAACCATGAGGAGCATTTAATTTCATCTTCTGTGGCAACAGCCACTTTAAGAAAGAGTCTGAGAAAGAAGAGTCACTTTCCTCTCGTGGGGCTCGGTATCACCCTCTGGTTTCACCTGGGCTTACTACTTTCTTCTAATATACACACAAAACATTTGGTGAGGCCACAGATTAAAACATACATACACATGTTTAAACATGCCATTATTAAAAGAATAATATTAAACCTAATGTTGTCTAAAATTTACTCCAAACTGTCTAGTCTTTAGGTTAACAGCTCTAAAAACATTTCTTTCTCTTGCATTATAAAGACATTTCTTGACGATAAACCATGTGGTTCCTCTTTCATGTCTTACACTTAGTGTTCCTGTTAAGTCCCAATTTTAAATGTAACATTCTTAGTATTTGTGTCAGTGAATTTTTATATGAAGCTGGCAACTATTGATTGGTGTGTGTGAAACAAAAATTACAGTGGTAACTCAGCAGGGTGTGACAGAAGTTAATTTTGAATGTTATAAAGTGAACATATTTTGTACTGCTTATGCTACAACTGGGATATGTCTCTAATTTTTGACAACATACATAGTAATGATAATAATTTCTTACTTTAGATATGATACATAAAGTTCATTTGCGTGGCTCATTCCAAGTGACCCGAGCAGCATGGGATCACATGAAGAAACAGAAGTTTGGAAGGTAGAATGCATGTGGGGTGGAGTTGTTTGGGTTTTCGGGTACAGGGAAAGGTTGTTATTTTGACATTGAAGAAAACATGTTCAGATGTACACAGACTTTTCAAATGTGATTTTGCCAAATACATTCATTGAACTGGTGTTATCTAATCACAGATTAGCTGAGCTGGATAGCTTTATATTTCTTTCCATCTCCTACTTTCCATTTTTCATACTTTTCTTGCTGTCCTCTGCTGTTAATATCGAGGATTTAGTTGTTCTTCATCCTCTAACAAAATTTATTTTATGTGTTCAATAATGAACTGGAGAGAGATGACTGTCTCTTTCTTGCTAGTTTGTGCTGGTCAGGCATGCCTTGGTGTCTGAATATTTAGAAATTTTAGATCTTCTAGTTACCTCTATATCAGCGACACAGAACATAGCAGAGCGAGCTGGTGGTTGGCTTCCTGCATTGTAGTGTGAGAATCATTTTTGTTAATTCAGGATTCTCACACACCTACTAGAAATAAATCATCTGTGGGCCCGTGCTTATAGAGAGTTCTAGTTTACCCTGAGTTTAGCTCTTTCTGAAACTAAATGATACTCATTTACTTGGTTTACTAAGTAGAATGAATGAGATTTAGCCAGATTTTGAGATGGCATTGTTTGAGTGTGAAACATTTATTCAGTATTATTCAGAAAGGGAGAGAAATGATGAGGACTGAAGAATTGAATTGCTTGATGTTTCTTAGTAATTTTTACTTATCTGTTACAATTTATTTTTTGTTTATAAATATTTATCATTGTTTTCAATAGATAATGAATAGGTAGTTTAATGTTTGAAATCATTTGGTCCTGACCAGGCATTACTTTTAAGAGAGTTAAATCTTATAGTTGAATTCTGAGAAATTACCTTTACCTGAATTTAGATACATAAATTTTTATTGTAAAAATTTATTGACAGTAAGAGTTGCTTTTGACAGGTGTAATAGTACTGAAAAAAAAAATGGAAGAGTTGTAACATTATCAAAACATAGGAAAGGTGATTTTGAGAGATTTGATTTTTCTTTTAGGATCATTATGACTTCATCGGCTTCAGGAATATATGGCAACTTTGGCCAGGCAAATTATAGTGCAGCAAAGCTGGGTCTCCTAGGCCTTGCAAATACCCTTGCAATTGAAGGCGCTAAAAGTAATATTCACTGCAACACTATTGCTCCTACTGCTGGATCACGAATGACCCAGAGTGTTATGCCTCAAGGTCAGTAATTTTTTCAGTGATGTGAGTTTCATAAATAATTTAATTTTCTGAATTGTAAAAGAAAATTCTTCCTTAACATTTCAAAAAACATCATGTATAATTTGTGTTTCTTATGGAAAATTTAGAAAGGCACAAAGGGCAAACTAAAAAAAGGACCCATAAATTTGAACACACTGAGATAAATTTTCAGCTCTTTTTCTCTGTATAAGAAGATATAATTTTTTTTTGGATTGTTTTGCAGAGTGAGGTAATACTATTCTTACTGTTTTATTATCATTATTATATTAAACCTTAATAGAATTTATTTTTCAAACAGTTTTAGGTTTATAGAAAAATTGAGCAGGGTAGAAAGTTTTCTTGTACTTCCCCTCCTACAGTTTACCCTTTACTGATCTTTCATTATTGAACCACATTTGTTAGACTTCATAAACCATTAACCGGAGTTGATAGTTAACATTAAGCCTTGTTTTTTTGTGTTGCACAGTCTCCTTTTGTATTGTAGAGTTGTATGACTTTTAACAAATGCAGTGTTACTTATCCACCATTGCAGAACTACAGAATAGTTTTACTGCCCTAAAAAATCTTCTTTGCTTCATCTGTTCATCCCTCCCTTCTGCTTGAACGTCTGGGAGGATAGAGCTCATTTTATTTCAAATAATATTCAGTGGTATTACAGTATGCATAATTCGTGTATTTACTTACCTATTGAAGAGTATCTTGATTGCTTCCAGTTTTTGGCAGTCATGAACATCTGCTGTTTTGTAGAAAACCTGTAAATTTTCAGCTCTATTCGGTAAACATTATCAAGTGTGAATGTTAGATTGTGTGGTAAAACTATGCTTAGCTTTGTAAGAAATTGCCAAACTTTCCTCAAATAGATTTATTGTTTGTTGCTTGTGTTCTTGTTAGCATTTATAGTTGTCAACCTTTTGCTTTTTAATCCTAATCGGTATTTAGAGGTATCTCATTGTTGAAGTTGCAATTCCCTGTGATGTGCTATATATTTTTCTGTGCTTCTTTGCCATTTATCTTCTTTGTTGATATATTTGTTCAGTTCTTTTGCTTATTTTTAAATTGGGTTGTTTTCTTATTGTTGAGTTTTAAGTTTCTTGCCTATTTTGTGAACAAGCGTTTTGTCCTGTGTATTTTGCAAATATTTTTTTGCAGTTTGTAGCTTCTATTTTTTCTTAGTTTCTCTCACTTTTGAGGGAAGATTTTCAAAGGATATAAAATTATGGTTGGTAGTTTTTTCTTTCAGTACTTTATAAAGATTTTACTCCAGTTTTCTCTCAGTTATCAAGACATTACTTTTTTATAATAATTTATTTGTTTAATTGTGGTAACATTAGAATTCTTTCCATCAAGTATTTGCCACTGTTGGGTACCTACTGCCAAATCACCCATAGCCTACTGCCATAGTCCATTGTGCTTCCTTCCTTTTTCCTCCTATTCCCCTTCCCTCTTTAGATGATTCAGTTTTCCAATCAGTTTGCAAAGATCAGTTTTTGTTTTTGTTTTTTAAGATTTATTTATTTATTCATACAGAACTGGGGTACAGGCCAGAGGCTCAGGGACGGTGAGAGGCTTCACCAGAGACAGAGTGGGGAGCAGAACAGGCAGATCGAGGAAGTACACTGCTGAGGGGAGCAGCGGGCGGGTCAGGAGAGGTCTGCCACACCATGTGGTCACCTCCAGGGCAGGCGGGAATCAAACTCATGCTGATGTGGCTTTAGCTTCTCAGTGCTGTGCTTTAAGCCGCTGCGCCACCAGGGAGGGCCTGCAAAGATCAGTTTTTAAGGTTATCTTTTTCTGGTTCTTAGTTTGTTTCCCTATATCTGCTTCTAGTGACACCATCTGTTATTTATCTTTCCCCCTTGACTTACTTCACTTAGCATTATCTTCTTCCAACTTTATCCATGTTGCCACAAATGACATGAGTTTGTCTTTTTGATTGGTGAATAGTATTCCATTGTGTGTCATAATCTGTTCATCTGGTTTGGGGCATGTAAACTCAGTGATTCCTTTTTCATTGCGTTACATTGTTTTCTAGCATTTCTGTCTTTCCATCTCTCTACTTAGGGTAGCCATCTGTTCTTGCATATTGTTCACTTTTTTCCCATTAGAACCCTTAGCATATTAATAGCAACTGTTTTAAATCCCCAGCCTGATCATTTCAAAATCTCCATTGTATTTGAGTCTGCTTCTGATCCTTACTTTGTCTCTTAAGTTTGTTTTTCACCTTTTAGCGTGCTTTGACAGTTTGTTGAAAGCAGAGCATGATGTATTGGGGTAATAAAGTGAAGTAAAAAGACCTTTAGGTGTGAGGTTTCTGTTTATCTTTCTAGGAGTTAGGCTGTATCTTTTATTGTTTGCTATAGTTATTGGTATCAGACTTACATTTCTTCTGTAACCTTGCTTTTTGTACCCTGTTGGCTTTGGATTTCCCTGTAAATTCTTTAATAGCTTATGTGTCTTGGAGGTCTCTCAGTTATAATCCACTGTAAAGCTGGGCCCTGTTAATGTGGTTGTAAGGTAGTGGGGAGGGAAGTGTTATACAATCTTGTGATTAAATCTCTGTGTTTATTTTTAACCTGGTGACAGAGTCCTCCAGAAAAATGTCTTAGCCTTGTTGTTTTCTTCCCTTGAGTTAGGAAGGTTAGTGGGACTGTACTTGTTGAAATGCCCTTCCCTACACTAGATAAGTCTCTGATAGTTTCCTTGATAATAGCCCTTTGGTCAGGAGGACAGATTCTTCCTGCCGTATTTCAAAGTCACTTTTTTTCTTTGGTTACTCTTTTCGCTTTCTGTAATATTTCAAAGAAAATCTTTGGATATATACTATATTATACTCCACCTAATAAACAGAAAAGTATCCCTAACATTATAAGCATAATACTGCCATTACACTAAACAGTAAATCTTTGAAATAATCTAGTACCAAATTCATAATAAAATTTCCTAATTGTCTAAAAGGATAGGTTTTAGAGTTTGTTTCATAAGAATCCAAATGCGGTTGACAGGCATTTTGTTACTCTATTTCTTAAGTTTCATTTAAGTTAATGTAGTTTATTCTCTTTTAAAATAAATGAAAGAGCATTTATTTGTTGAAGAAACTAGTTCATTAGCTTACATACTCTTCCTAATTCCTGATTTGAGTTGCCTTAGCACTTTTGTAAGAAATAATTCTCTTTTCTGTTCCATTGATCTGTATGCCTGTCCTTTGACCAATAACATGTTTTCATTACCATAGTTTTATAATCAGTCTTTGAAGTTAGGATATATGTCTTCCAGCTTTGTTCTTTGAAAATATGTAATTTTAAATTAAAAAAATTAAATGTTTGAGAGCCTATGCTTATTTATTTAGTTACATAATAGAATACTTAAGTAGTAGAAAACTGAAGGACGTTGCTAGCTTTGCCATATTTCTAAAAACAGTTCCCTTTATAATTTAAAAATCACTTCTGTGAAGTGACATAAAACAACTAATACTAGTTACTTCATGGAACACAAATTTACACAAGCATTTACTTTCTGGATTTGAGTTATCCATCATTTTACAAATTGGCAATTCTAAAAACAAGTATGTGTGTACTAGTTAGCCTTTGCTAACAGTTGTGCCTGTCCGATTTTCTTTAGTTTTTTATAGCTATTTGGATCTGAAATTCTCTTTTCCCCTTTTTTTCTTATCCATAGGTCCATTTCAAAAATAACCTTATTTATACAACTTTATGTTTGCATATTAACATCAAAGCATTTCTTACAAAAAAATAAGATATAGGATAAAATAGAAACCCAAATTATTGTTTTCCTTTTCAGTACATCTGTGTAAATGCAGTGTAACTTAACTAGTAAGAAGTAAAGCATCAAAATCTAAAGATTAGTCATAGACTCACATACCCAAAAAAGTGGAATGTTACTGATAACTTGCACCTAACTCTGTGCCTTCTATTCTACCCCTTTGCTTCATGCAAAGAGATAGCCATTATTTAGAATTTCAAGCTAATTATTTCTTTTCTAGACTTTTATGTTAGCCTGTTTTTGCTGTCTGCTATAGACTTCTTAGGAAGCAGTAAGTTTCTAAGAAAATATTAAAATTTCAGGTTTTAAGTTTGTGTTTCTTTGAAAATGTAGCTACCATTTATTTGGACCGGCCTGTTCCTGTAGAGACATTAGGTAAATGTTTAATATGGTGTTCTTCATTCCACCATACTCTAGTAAAATAAATCTGGAGAATAAGGTGTACTTTAGGCAAATGATTTAATCTTGTCTCGTCTGTAAAGTCAGAGAGCTGCTGCAGCTCATATCTTTCAGAATCTACACTTCTGTTATTTTTAAAATTTTGTTACAGTTTGGAAAAGCTGAAAATTTATTTTACCTTGCAGTTTTTTCTTATCCTGAAATAACTATTTACAGGCTATGAAAGCAATTACTTCTTTAGGAACCAGATGTTATTAGTAATGTATGGAGACAGCTGAAATTTCATTTTCCTCTTTCAAATATATTTGACACATGGAAAATAATGTATGTAACACTCATGTTTCTTTCATGAAAGAAAACATAATCCTAAAATGAACACTCCATGAACTTCTCAAGCTGTAGTACTTAGTACTTATTGTTACTTAACAAATTATTCCAAATTTAAAAAAAAAGAACATTAAGAAAACAACTATCTCATGGTTTCTGCAACTAGAGTGGCTTAGCAAGAAAGTCTGGGTCTGGTCTCTAGTGATGTTTTGTTAATGGTATTCTCTGGGATTCCAATCATTTAGAACCCTAGCCAGGTTGACGTTTCTACTTGAAGCTCATTTTTGCACATGGCAGTTGGCAAATTGTCAGAGCTGTTGTCTGGTGGTCATAGTTTCTCACCACAGAGGCCCCTCCATGGTTTGAAAGAGAGAAACAACCAAGAGAGAAGTTGCATTCCCTTTTATAACTTAGGGTCAGAAGTGACATGCTATTACTTCCTAATGTCCACAAAGACTAACCCTGGTTCACTGTGTGAGGTGACTGCTAAAGGGGGGTAAGAGAGTGGATGCGGGTTCCTGGGTCCATCTCACAGGCCAGCAGTCACACAGCCCCCAACCTGAGGCCATTACCACTACCTTGAACCTGTCTTGCTTTCCAATTGTTGTTGATCCTGTTTCCCCCCTGATCTTATAATCTCCCTTGCTTACTTAAAGTTTTATTTTTTTGTGTGTAGAAGAACTGGTGTCTAAGCTAGAGGTGCATTGAATTGGGAGGCCAGAGTGGAGAGCGAAACAGGTGGATCTACTGAAATACACCGCTGAGGGATTAGTGGATGAGACAGGCAAGGTCTGCTGCAGCATGAGGGTCAGCTCCCTGGCCGGGGATGAACTTAGGTCACCAAGGTGGGCCACCAGGTGATCATGCTGAGACTTAACCTCCAGGTCTCCAGGGATCCCTCCCTCTCTGTATTTTAATTCCTTTTATGGTGACCTGAAATGATTTTTAAATGTTTGGAACAGTGTACAGTTAAGAACTTTTTTTTTTTT